GAGGATGAGGAGGAAAAGGAGGAGGATGAGGAGGAGGAGGAGGAAGAGGAGGAGGCGGGTGAGGAGGAGGAGGATGAGGAGGCGGAGGCGGATGAGGAGGATGGAGGAGACGGAGGGTGAGGCTGCGGAGGAGGAGGATGAGGAGGATGAGGAGGAGGGACAGGAGGAGGAGGAGGAGGAGGAGGAGGAGGAGGAGGAGGAGGAGGAGGAGGAGAGGAGGGAGGAGGAGCAGCAGGAGGAGGGAGGAGGAGGAGTTGGAGAAGGAGGAGGAGTTTGGGTCGTCGAAGTGATGTGGCAGGGCTCAGGAGGCTCTCAGGTGCGGTGCCTCAAGGTGTCGGCCTCCTGCCTCCCTCGGCGGCGCTGGCGAGATCGAGGGAGCTGGCCTCCCCCTCCCCGACCCGCTCGTCCCAGCCTTTCTGGGGATCCTCCTCCTCCTCCTCCTCCTCTCCTCTTCACTCCTCCTCCTCCTCCTCCTCCTCTCCTCCTCCTCCTCCTCCTCCCCTCCTCCCCCCTCCTCCCTCCCCCCTCCCCCTCCTCCCCCTCCTCCCCATCCTCCCCCTCCTCCTCCTCCTCCTCCTACTTCTCCTCCTCCTCTCCTTTTACTCCTCCTTTTACTCCTCCTTTTCCTCCTCCTCCTCCTCCGTTCTCGCTCATAGCTTTTCTGGGGTCGCTGCCTCTTTGCTCAAAGAGTTCATCGGGAGGGGAGAAGCACACAGACACAACAAATCGTCGATTCCCGGGAGAATACGGGGGAATCTGGGGAGTGGATGGGGAAGACGGACAACATTCAGAGCACATGGATCATGTGTGGGGATTTTCGGATTTGTGTCTGTTTCTTTGTGAGTGTCCAGGGGCCCCTTCAATTTACTGGGGGCCGCCCCCCCCCTCCCCGCTCCAGCAGCTTAAGTCGGTGCCTCACTCTCCCCCTCCCTCCCTCCTCCTGGTACGCCTGTGGCCCTGGATCTCGACCCCTGGGGAGGCCTCCGGATGCCTGGAGAAGGCTCGAAATGACAGAGCTCCCCCTTCTCTCCCCCCCCCATCCTCGACTTTCGAGGGTCGAGCGCAAGACCTGGCACCTCCTCCTCCTCCTCCTCCTCCTCCTTCTCCTTCGTCCTTCCTCCCTCCTCACTCCTGCCTCCTTTTCCTCCCTCCTCCCCCTTCCACCTCAGGTGATGCAGATGATCCCTGGCATGTCGAACATGCTGCCGCAGGGCGCAGAGAAGGAGGGCGCGAAGCGGATCAAGCGGCTCTCGGGCACACGTCAGTGGGGGGGGGGCAGGGCGGCGGCCGTCCCCAGCCTTGGAGGAAGAGAAGGTAGGGACGAGGAGGGAGGAGGAACGAGGGATGAGGGACGAGGAGGAGGAGGAGGAGGAGGAGGGAGAAGGAGGAGGAGGAGGAGGAGGAGAATGAGGAGTAGGAGGAGAATGAGGAGAAGGATCAGAACGGACGAGCAGGAGGAGAAGGAGGGAGTGTAAGGGAGGAGGTGAACAAGGAGGAGGAGGAGGAGGAGGAGGAGGAGGAGGAGGGAGGAAAATGAGGAGGAGGAGAAGGAGGAGGAGACGAAGGAGAAGAAACAGGATGAGACTCTCGCACCCAGACCCGCGCCCACGAGCGTTTGCCGTGCTCCAGTGTGATGGCTGAGACAGGGACTGGGGCAAGGCGGTCGTGGGGCAGATCCGCATACAGCCGAACAGCACAGCGCCTAGACTCAGACCTCAAGTGATGATGAATGTTCCTCCTCGTTGCTTCCCTCGTCGCTCCACCAGACGTGTTGGTAGGGCGGGCCGAACGTTTTGCCTTTGATGTTTGCACAGTGCTTGACCCATCAGCTACGCATATGAATGCCAACATGGGGCTCTTGTCTGGGCGCCGCACGCACTCGGCTTGAACGCTTGCGCCAGGGACTCGGATGGAAGGCCACCTTTTTTCCAGTTGCGCCTTTCTCCTCAGCGCCTCGTTCTCAAACTTTGCTGCCACTGCACGCATTGGGGTTGTCCGGTAACAAAACATGGGAACCTCGTGTACCCTCTTACGTCCGTCTTGAGTGTTGATTCGCGTCGATTAGTGTCTGGAGTCGATGAGATAGCGCCGATGTAGCGTCGATTCGCGTCGATGCAGCGTCGATGAGCGTCGATTTAACGTCGATTAGCGTAGATTCGCAAGAGCCGACAAGATGGTATGGCAGGCTCCCATGAGTTGCCACCGAAGGGTTCAAGGGAGTCTCTTGCTTGAAATTTTCTTAGACACTGTTGGCCCGATGTTGAAGCATGTGGGGCAACGGCGCGGTGGACGAACGGCGGTGATTCTTCACAATTGGCTCTCGCTCTGTGGCGCCCCCATCTATTACGGACCGAAGTGTCCACATGCGCGACATGTCTACTGTAGAATCGGGCACGCCCATCTACAGGATGAATGTTCAAGAGTAGTCAACAAATGGCCTGGGGGCGATGTCTTGTGCTATTTTGACTTTATGTGACTTCTTTGATTATCCTTAATTTGT